AAGTTTGAATTTTCTGGTCATAATTTTTGTTTTCATGACTATATACACAGACGTGCACTGTTCTTCCTGAATACTGCATTTTACCAACATGTGCAAATACTTTAAATACATTATGCATGCACATTTTTCACAAGTCTATCCACTGTGTTCAAACCCACTTTTCAGTTTGATTCTGTTACTATTCACCAAGCTCTTCTTTATTTAGTTCTCAAATTTGCTAAATTAGTTCTATTGCTTGTAATTTAAATATCCCGCTTAACTGTATTTTTACTTATACTGATTCATTGCAGAGTGAACCTTTATATGTTCCTGTAAAGTTTCATGACTTGCCAACAGAAAAAAATGGCAGTAATAATAGTGATGCAGAGAAAAGTGAGTAAAGACTTTTGGAATGCTGAAATGTTAGTTCTTTGGTGAAGGAAGTGCTTTCCTCTTTAGTATAACTGCTTTCATGTTGCAGGTCTTGCCTCCCCCTTTCTCCCCCTTTCTTTTATTTTTTTTTTCTTTCCTTAAATCTCTTATCGCATGAATTGCACTCTCATATATTTACTTTCAGGCAGAGAAAACATAGGCCTGTCGTTCAGTTTACCTTTCTTGGTCACTACAGATCCAGCCTATGTTTATCTCAAGGGACCAACTGGGTTCAGTACTTGTGATTCTTTCCTTCTGGGCTTGTATGACCAGCAGCAGTGAGTCAGCCTCTGGAAAAACAAGCTATTGTCCTTTTTAGAGCAGGAGCAAAGCAGTCAAAGTAAGAATTTTAACAGTCTATGTGCATTCTGATTTTATTTAAGCCTCACTATCTTGTGATAGTATCTGAAACAGGCCTATTTGTCCCAGACAGTTGTAGAAAAGTTGGCTGTCAAAGAAGCCAGTTATCTGATCCTCAGCAAAAGAGTCCTTGCTTATAAAAGGCAAAGTCTCTTCTTTAATTTCTAGATGTTAAGAACCACTTTGGTAGACCCTGCTGTCCTGTGACAATGTGCTCCAATCACTTCAGAGTTGTTTAAGCCATAGCTTTTCCCTTCACATTTTTTAGGAAATAAGGCATTTTTCATATTGAGTTAGGATAATATTTACTTGTAGTATGAGTGTAATGTTTTCTTTACACAGAAAACGATTGATACTTACAATACACTTATGAACAAAAGCTGATCCTGGTTAGCAAGATTAGTTAGAGGGTGGGTTTCAAAAGAGCAATTGACTTTATGATCTCTTCTAAGCTTTAAGGTCTGTTGGACTCTCATCTTCTGAATGAAACATCATCCTTACAGTTAACTGTAGTTGTGTGCAGGTTTTGGCTGTTTGGCTACTAAACAATTAAAGAAAATCTTATGTGTAATATTTTATCCCTTTGGAATAATTCCTATCTGAAAATTTGTTGTTACCTTTCGTAGAGGTTTTTTTTGACAGGGAGCAGGGATGGTGCTTTTCAGTGAGGTTTTCTTGGGTGGACAACTGTACTGATTGAAAACAGTAATTGTGCTTTGTCTTATTAGTAGCCTCTTGAATAGCAAAATACTAGTGTTTAATAAAAAATAATGGCATGTCTTCTATTTGGATAAAACCCTGTTATTTGTGTAGCATTGTAATCAATGCTGTGTTAGAACATGATGGTTTTACATGCATGTTGTGTCGGCTCCAGAAATTTAACAACAATATGAAGCTTTTTTCTTTCTTTTTTTCCTTCTCCAGCTCCCAAAAAGCCTCGTGTAAGGTTCAGTAACATCATGGAGATCCGACAGCTGCCATCAAGCCATGCATTGGAAGCAAAGTTGTCTCGTATGTCATATCCAACAGTTAAGGAGCAGGAATCAATATTAAAAACTGTAGGAAAACTCACTGCAACTCAAGTAGCAAAAATTAGCTTTTTCTTTTGCTTTGTGGTATGTTCTCCATTCTTTCAGAAACTTACACATAGATATAATTAAAACTTGTATAATATTAGCGAAAAAGTATTGAGGTGACTTGTATTCTTTAAACCTTGTTTTATGAATGTAGTACAGGAAGTAAGACTTTCCTTGTTCCAGACATGAAGGTGCAAGATTCACTTCTGAATCTGTTGGTTGCTGGTGTTTCTGCATCATGCCTTGATTCTGGGGGGGAGAGGGAGTTAACAGGGACATGATTTTTGAGGCAGTAAAAATGCAGAGAGCAGACCAGTGACAGCTTTTCCAGAACCAGCTTCACTGATACTGCCAAATAGGTTCTATGTAATGTGGACCCAGCACAGCTTTTCCTCAGGAAGTACTGCTCTTTAAACATTGTTATTGTTACTGTCATCATCAATAATAACAACACTGCTGAAAAATGGTGATTTAATTTTTTCTAGGGTTGTGTTTTCATATTCAAAACAAATCCTGTCTATGCTGTTACTGGCATGTATATGTATTTCTCCTTGGACTGTATGAATATTTCCACATAAGACTAGAGAGTGGTTACTTCCCTCAGAATATATCTGAGATCTCAATCAATAAATGAGTAAACACTTGCCATTTTATTCCTTTATGGGGGAATTAACAAATATTTTTTAGGTATTGAGTGTAAGTGATGCTGGCTTTTTACAGCAGAGATGTCTGCAGGGTTTTAAGTACTCTAAAAATTTAAACTCATTAGGCTGACTAATGTCGCGTGCATTCCTGAAATTTCTTTCCAGCCTTTGTGCAGTTATCATCTGGTAGCACTTCCAAAACAAGTTAAAAGTACCTTTAGTTACTACAGAATAGCTATTATAATGTCATTTTAATTATTTTTAGGTTCTGAAGTATGTTATTTCATTATTAAACACGTACTTGTATGGGTTGGTTTGGGCCAGTTCTAAGTTAGCTGCTATCATTTAATGTACTTTCCTCTTTAATAGAGGTTAAAAATCTCTTTAAGGTAAAAATCATGTTCTGATTTTATTTTTGAATAAGTAGTTGGGTTTTTTTTTTTACTTTAAGTAGAATTTTATTGCACTGAGCAACTTAAGCTCATATAGTTGCTTCTACTCATATAATAACAGAATTATTTTTCTTTTTCCCCAGTGGTTCTTGGCAAATTTCTCGTACCAAGAAGCTCTGTCAGATACCCAAGTTGCCATAGTTAATATCTTGTCATCAACCTCTGGTAAGATTTATTTACACCACCAGATGTGCCTTCTAAGGCTGTTTATAACAGAAAAATCTATTTTGCTACAATGGACTTGTGTAATGTTTCCCCTGTGGCTTTGGCTTAAAGCCACTGAATACGTGCATTTTAAAAAGTCGTTATGTATTTGCAGAGGTTTAGGGTACCTTCATGTTCTGCTTTCTGAGTTTGTGTGTGTATTTCTGCAGTTATGTCTGTGTAATAAAAAGATATATTTGGAATGTGATAGCTTTAAAGCAAAGGTGGTATAACTGTTAATCAAAATAGATTCAGAGCAAAGTTTTCTTGCTAATGGTTGTTTTTTAAAAATAGGTTTAGAGGTAAAGAACTTAAACCACCTAAATATGATGCAAATCATTTGTTTTACAGGTTTTATGCAAGGCTGTAATACAAGCTTTAAAGTATTTAAACTATGTGACAGTACATATTTGGAGAATTAACTTTTTTTTTGGTTTATAAAGTCGGTTTTAAAAACAGAATTATACAACCTTTCACTGACTTTTCTGGCTTATTGCAGTTTATTTTGTTGGTATGGCTGGCCTTCCTCAAAGCTGAGCATGTATTTGCTCATCTGAGGATTCACATCACAAGGTGTTTAGTTTTCATAATAGTTCAGACTAAAATTAAGGGTATTAAGATCAAGTAGTTAAAAAAAGTACGTGAAATATAAATAAGAAAATGTCTGTGCCGTTTTCTGAACACACTGGTGGCAAAACATGATTTTGTAACCTTCTCTCAATTTCTCTTGCAGGGCTTTTTACATTAATCCTAGCTGCAGTCTTTCCCAGTAACAGTGGAGATCGGTTTACCCTGTCTAAATTATTAGCTGTTATTTTAAGGTAAGATAATGGGATGGGACATTTGGTCAAAAATTCTCTGATACAGTGAGAGGACAGCTGTAGCTTTAATACCTGGGGTACCTGTGACAATAAATTATACACATCCCTTTCTTAAAAATGCTCGTTTCACAGATAAATTGAGCAAGTTGAATTCAATCTGTTTAAATACTTCATATCATGAACAATTACCAAATCTAATTCTCCTGTAGGAAATTAGATTAAGCAGGTTTTTCTTGGAGATAAAGTGAACTTATTTTCTTCTTGTTTAATTATTTTATTTTTGTGTAGATGGGGAAAAGGAAGTGGTTTGACATTCAGTGTTGTCAACCTGTTTCATTAGATGCCTGGTGCATTGTTCTGGATGTTACAAGTGGGGTTGGTTGGTTTGTTTGGTTTTAGCAATAGAGAACTCCTTTTGGCTTTCCAGAAGTGGGTTTTGATTAAATAAAAATGCCTAAAGATAGAACTGTATTTTTATGTTTATCTTTCTCTTTTTTTTTCTGTATTTGTTAAAAAGTTCCTGGGTTTAAGAAGCCTTTTGCATTTCTTTTCTTTTGCTAGCATTGGTGGTGTGGTACTTGTTAACCTTTCTGGATCTGAAAAATCTGCTGGAAAAGATACAATAGGTATTTACTTATGGTTTTTAGTCCTGGAACATGCAGTGATGAGTACCATCTTTTGACAGTACTTAGTAGTCATATAGCAAGCTCCATATTTCTTACTCATGTAACCTTTTACAATCTGGCTTTTTAGTTTGAACTTCTGAAACTCGTCATTTATGATAATTTTCCACCCTATGTATGTAGCTTAATTGGGAAAGTATTTACATTTTTGAGCTCTCTCCATTTTTCCATGCTTTTTGTATATTAAGGGATTCTGTTATAAGCAGTTTCTCAGTTCTGGTTTTATAATAGGTGTGTGTTTAGGGGAGTTGATCCTACTGTGCATAACGTGCTTGGCACATCTTTAAGGGAGTGTTTTTTTCCATCTTTCCAGGTTCCCTTTGGTCTCTTGTAGGAGCAATGCTGTATGCTGTGTACATAGTAATGATAAAAAGGAAAGTGGATAGAGAAGATAAACTTGACATACCAATGTTCTTCGGTAAGACTAAAAATGATTCTATTCAAAGTTTTAATTCAGTGTGTAATTAAATTGTTTGCTTGCAGGCACTGAACTGTCTATCAGTGGTAAAAGGGGCTTAGAAAAGCCAAGGAAGTAGACAAAGCTTGTTACTGCTCTTGGAGTACTTTAGATACTGGTTGTGTGGATTGTTTCTTTTTTACAGCCTTAGCAATGAGAGGTAACATTAGCTGTGGGAATACAGACAGTCCCTTTGACTTAATGACATTTTAAAATTTTACTTTATTTTCAATTTAAAACCTGTAAATATCAGATGCAATTTTTGTTTGGGAATTTCAGGTAAAGTTTCTTATATTCATTTCATTTGAAAGATTTAAAATATTGCTTCATTGCTCCTTTTTTGTATGCATGTTGTCAGAGTTTGGGTGAGATTTTGGTTATATTGAAGGATATTTTTTTGTAATTTACTTAAAACTGTTTTTATACTCAGGTTTTGTAGGGCTGTTCAATCTGTTGCTGCTGTGGCCAGGGTTCTTCCTGCTTCACTATACTGGATTTGAAGCATTTGAGTTTCCCAACAAACTGATCTGGATGTGTATTGTCATTAATGGCCTTATTGGAACAGTTCTGTCAGAGTTCCTCTGGCTGTGGTATGTAGTACATACATTGAATATGTTTGACATAAATCATCTTACCTGTGTTCTCACATGTTGACATGTCACATTGTCTGGGTAGGTGGTTTTGCTTTGGTTTTAAATTTTTTTCTGTCCATATATGCAGCTTAAGTTAGAGGGTGTCATCCATCATGTCCTGTGTGTCCTGTTAAAAAGCCACAGCTCACTTTAAAAAGCAGGTGATGTGGTCTTGTAGTATTTATTAAAATCCTGTGTGCATAGCTCATTCTAGAATTGACATTTTGAGACAAAAAGGCTTTGTGGCACAGAGTTGCTGTAGCAATAGGAGAGCATGAATTTCTGTTGTAACAGTTCTGTGAGAAGACTGCAACAAAAGATGTAGGTGGAGTTCCATCAAAACCTTTTTGTTTTGTTTAGGGGTGTGGGATCTTTTTGGGGGACTGTTTTTGGGGTTTGTTTGTTTGTTTGTTTTTTCCAGATTGAATTTAAAGTTGTTTAGGAAATTTAATCATGATAATTTTTGTTTATTGGCAAACTCCTACACCAGTCCTAGTTATAAATGCGTTGCAGCATATGTTCCTTTGTAATTGAACTTGTTTATTGATGGAATATTTTTGTGATGTTAATGCCATCCTATAAGATTACACCTGCTGAGTATCAGCTGGTAAAAAGGTTAAGTGCGATATTATGTTAACACAGGTGAAATAACAAACAAACAAAACTTCCCCAAACCCCTAACATTGGCTCTGGTCCCAAAATCAAGTATTAGGATAGGGTTAAAGTACATGGGTGTGCACGGACTTTTTTTATTTGTGTAATTACTCAGAATGTTAATCCAGTCGATGAAAGTGTTAGCTTTGTTTCCAGCTCCTTTTTCCTAGAGTTTTGGACTGGGACTAATTTCAGAGTTTGTGCTGACATTCTCCTTTTATTTCTCCAGTGTGCCACTAGCATGGTCCTCTTCACTTTCTTTGGAAGTAAATAATGCCATTTAACCTACTTGTTTAACTCCACCCAACCACATGCTGCCAACTAAATAATGTAGGAATAGATATGACTCTTAATTTTGGTTTGTTTTTTTTTAACCTGATGATAAGTTTTTATTGGTTTCTGTGCCTTTTATTCATTTATAGTTTTCTGGTGGACAGGTTGGTTCTAATTCAGAAGCAGACAATGCAGAGGTACAGGAGAGTTCTCTTGTGCTACAGAGAACGTGGCATAGAAACAAAATACAGGTTTTTCTAGATGGAGTTAAAGCATGTGAAGTAGGGAATTTTCCATCATCTCAAAAAGTTTATATGGGAATTAAACCTCACCCCAGAAGACATCAATTGTCTAGTTAAGAATTCTAAGCAGTTTCACAGATGGAGTGTGGGCGTGCGAGCTTTAATTTTTGATTATTAAAACAAACAATGACTGTTAAGCTTGATCAAATGTCTTCCTAATTTGATGTATTACTTTGTCTTTTAACTTTTAAATAAGACCTTTGTATTACAATTATTATTTATTGTCGTTATTATTTTATAACTGTTATCGTTTCCTTGCTTTTTAGGGGCTGCTTTCTTACCTCATCACTGATTGGCACACTTGCTCTAAGCCTTACAATACCTCTGTCCATCATAGCTGACATGTGCATGCAGAAGGTAATGTAATTCTACATTTTGAGCATTATTTCTTCAAATTAAATAGCAGTGTTATCTTTAATGATGTGTACAAGGAGCAGTATTTTACTTCTGTCACCTGTTTGTTCTTCTCCTGCTGTTGGAGGTAAATGCTTTGTGGCTTACATTTTAGAAAATAAATTACTAGTGTTAGAAGCACAAATGAGTGACCATAATTAAAGGCAAACTTCTGTAGACTTTGAGTTTTTTTGTAGAAGGAAAGACAAGGCTTAACAATTGCAGTTTATTATAGTTTTGAGAGTGACCGTCAATGTCGGGTACCAAATTTTCTCCAAATTCTTCAATTTTAGGTATTTTCTCCACACGGGGGTGCTGTGCCCACAGTTTATGGCTCTGTCATCCTGAAAGGCAGGTCCCAGGCTGATCGTGCTCTTCATCTGGAACTGTAGAACCATTGGAATGGCTTGGGTTGGAAGGGATCCTAAAGATCATCTTCGTTCTAACCCCTGCCATGGGCAGGGACACCTTCCACTAGACCAGGTTGCTCAGAGCCCAGTCCAACCTTGCCTTGGACACTTCCAGGGATGGGAGAGCCACAGCTTCTCTGGGCAACCTGTGCCAGGGCCTCACCAAGCTGTAACCTCCTATAATTTTAAGTTTTAAACAATGTCAGAGGACTGCTACTGACTGTATTAATAGATAGATAAAAGTAGCAGTATAGATACAAGTAGAATTTAGTTTAAATTGAGCAAATAATGTGCCCTGCCTTTTTTTTTTTTTTCAAGTAAAAAGAAAATTACAGTAAATTTCAAGCAGCCGAGTCTTTTTATGTGCATTGAATTCAGCAGTTGCCGGTCAGTGACAGTCTATTCATAGTGAATAAACAGGTGCACAAATCTTTCAGGTGAGATCTCTCGTTTTCTGAAGATTTCTGAAGTGTCTAGGAGAATTTGTCCTTGGTACCAGAGAGACAGCTAAAAACCTAAAAATGAGACTCTTTGGAAATAGGAGTCTTCATTCACCTCACAATGCAAACAATATGTTCCACTGTAAAGAACAGATCAGTGGAAAAAGATATTAGAAGCAGCAGTGGCTATAGGAATTGTACCAAATAATTCAGCTAGTGTAAAATAACTCAAACTGCATCTCAGACTTACAGTAATAATTACCCCAAATATACAGCATGCCCTTTTTTTCTTTTTTCTTAAACTGCTGAGTGAATGATGTTTGTGTTTTAATTCCAGGTGCAGTTTTCCTGGTTATTTTTTGCAGGGGCAGTACCTGTATTTTTTTCTTTTTTCATTGCAACTCTCCTGTGTCACTATAACAACTGGGATCCAGTGATGGTGGGAATCAGAAGAATTTTTGCCTTTATTTGTAGAAAACATCGGATTCAGAGGTAGGACAGTCACAAAGTGTAATGCTCTCTCTTCTCCAGCCTTTCCATTATCCTATACTTCTTATAAGCTGCAGTACTCATACTCTTTATTTTCAACTGATTTTATATTCAGGTGTACTGATTTCTTAATAGTACTAATTGCCAATCTGTTTATTAACCTATGCAGTACTCAGAAAATGGAAAGATGTGAAGTCTTTTTACCTTTTTTAAGAAGTGGCTAGTGGGTATCACAGTTTTTTCCCTTAATGCCTCTGTGTTAATTGCTGTACCCAGAACATGCAGTGAAAATTGTGCAAACTTGAGTATACTTGATGAACTTTAGGGGTCTCTGCATGTTTTTAGTGGCTGCAGTTCAAACAACTAGTGTACTTAGTTAATTCCTTTGGCTTCATAACAACCAGTTTAATATTACTGTATAACTTTACATAAATAAATTTGTTTCTTTTAAGAATGCCAGAAGAAAGTGAGCAGTGTGAAAGCCTCATTCCTATGCATAGTGTTTCACAAGATGGAGAGAGTTGCTGTTCATAGACAAAAGGTAGGCTTAAAAAGCCTCAGACAATGCACAGAAAGGTGAGGATTGGTTTCCGTGGTGCCATTTGTGTTATACAAGGACACATTTTTAAAAAGCCTGCAGTTAATCTTGACCTGTATTGATGGCCAGAGTTTTGAAGTGTATCTTCAAAATTGTTGTTCATTGCCAAGCATTATTCTCACATCGATACAGTTGTTGGTTAATGGTTTTGAAATGTGTAGTCGTTTTTTTGCCTAAGACTATTACGATGTTCATATAAAATTGGCCATGAGTCAACAAACCAGAAGAGGCAAACAACTTCTTGACATGGACTATGTGTATGAAAGAGAGCTGAAGTAATTATTTCACTCCTTAATGCTGTTGGGGTCTCAGTTTGGGTTACTGCAGTTCATGAGAAACACCAAGGAAAAACACGTTTAAGGAAGTTTAGAGAACATCACCAGACTTGATCATTATGGGTCCAGAAAATGGAAAGGAGCCTGTGTGTTTGTAGTTGACAAGAATTAAGTTGTTAAATTCCACTGAATATTAGGGTAAATATTTTTCATGATAACCATAGGGAAGCTGGACTAGAATAACTAAAGAGTTTGCAAAATATCCCTCTCTAAGAGGGGGTTACACAAACATCTAAAAGGAATGTTCCGTGGTTGGTCAGTACTGTCTTGAAGCATTAAAACAGACATAGTTTAGGATTCTCCTAGCCTTGTGCTTCAGGGCTTTAGTTTTCAAATAATGCATGCAGAATTACCTGAGAAGTATATTTTTATTTTCTAATTTTGATTAAATCGAATAAAAAATTTGAAAACATTCTAACCAAAACAGCAATTGTGATGTCTTAAGCTTAAGACAGTTTTTTTTTCCCCTCTATTAGTAAGATGGAAACAAATATACATGGTGATTCTTTTTCTGTAATCCTGACTTATGTACCCCTGATAATTTTTTCTTTTTCTTCTTCTTAGTTTAAAAACAGAATGATGCCCAGCGAAGAGACAATCTTCTGGAAAAGTCCCTAAGGAGTCGTGTTTCAGTGCCTATTCTGAATCTGTAGTAAAAATAAGAAGTTTCAGTTCTTTTGAAACTCTAAACTTTTCCTCTTTCTTGCTTTCATCTGATTTTATAAATGAACAAAGTTACTCTATGCCTATCACCATAGGGAGTCTTAGTCCATCTGAGCAACCAACCTGCCTTATAACACTTGAGCTGGTGACGTTACTTGACAAAACCAAGAAAGCAAATGCTGTTTAGTGATTTCTTTCTTTTTTTAACTCACGATTTTGTTAAATGCTGGACAATATGGTTTTTAAAAGATACTTTCAAGTGAGTTATGTAAATAAGTTTGCAGGTCATCAAATCTCACAGGCTTTTGGAGGAAATGCTAAGTAGATGTGTTACCTGTAGTAGGTACAAATTAAATTTTTTTTTATGTCGTATGAACTATTTGCATATTAATAGAGGAAAAGAGAAAAAATAATTTATTAAGTGCATTCTTATGATTATTGAGGCAGGATCTTTGTACAGTCCTGGAACACTACAGACATATTGTCTTAGGCCATTTTGAGAAGCCTTGTAGTGGCAGTGGGTGCCCATGTTTAAAAATCTTGCTGCCCAACAATCTGGAATGCTTGAAATTTGAGTGAATGGGGAAATATTTTTACTTCCAATACGTTTGGGTGTCCTTTCTCAAAATCAGTGTTTGTTTTAAGCAGACTGATTCTGTAACCCGTTCTTACTCCCAGTTTTCTCACAGACGTGAAAATTTTTCATGTGTGTAGCTGCCATGTTGGGAAAGAGGTCAAATTAATTGAGAAGGTTTTCAGTCAGTGGATTGGCACTACAGTAATCTGCTAAGCAATCTGAAAGATAAAGGTGTTTGCATTGATTTTTCCTTTCCCCCAGTTGTATTAATAAATTTATTTTAAAACTGGTAATTTTTCTTATAACCTGTATCTTCCTTCCACTGTAGTGTTTCTATCCTCTTTAATTCTGAGAAGCTGTTATAATTATATTCAGGAATATTTGAAATTAATCAATGCCATTTTCCAACTTCTGGCCTATAAGACAGATCAAAGTTAATTTTGGCTTTTGATGGATTTTATTTTTGTATACTGAATGTAGGATGGATTTTTAGCCAGCAGTATTCTCTTCCCCATAACAAGGTAGGGTAATGTAGGGTATTTCTATTGTCCTTCTACACAAATACAGAAGGATGATGTAGCAGAAATGCCTTTTCATGTTTTGGCACTCAGTAATGATCCTTCCAAAAGAAATTTTGGTCTTTTGGTGATAAAACTATATGATATAAACTATATGAGAGGGAATGCAGGAAAGCAACATGCTTAGCTCTACATTTATAGAAAAATTCTAGCCAGCAGCTAGAATTTAATATAAGAACCTGTGCATAGAGAAAGAAATAGAAATGGACCTGGGTGCTGTTCCGTTCAAATATTTCACCTTCCCATTTTTAATAGTGGATTGCACTAAAAGTTTTGGGGATCTGAGGTGTATCTTTAAGATGAGATAGGAAGTCTTTCTTTCGGTACTTGAATAGGAATTAAAAAAACCTCCAAACCAACCAAAACAAAATCACAAACCCAAAACAGACAAAAAAATTGATTCAATTTATGTAGACATTTTGAAAAATTCCACATTTAAATTTCCAAACCCCATGAGTAGAGGGGTTGAAAGTACAGTATTTTGAAATAATTTTACTTTGGTTGTATTTTCATGAATTATCTGGTAAGTTGAGTTTCCTTAGGTTTTCTCTTTTGTTTTTGCTTGGTTGGTTGGTTTTGGTTTTGTTTTTTTAAATTATGACAAATTACAGGACTTCAACTTTTTTCCTAGAAGTAATGTTAATGCCTACTCACAGTAGAAAGTTAATGTCTGTTTTCAATTAATGAAATGTTTCCATAAGATCCTGACAAATGTTATAATACCAGGCATTAACTCTAAATTTGGATCAATTGGGACTTGTGGAATGGGTGAACTAAGCCTGGGAAAACTGAGTTTGCTTTCAGATGGGCAATGACAGTATTTTTAGCAAAATTTTCTATTACTGTTCTTTGAAATTGGCCATACCACAGGAATTGGAGCTGCAATCTAAAATGGGCAATTGCTGTTCATGTTTGCCCTTATGTTCATGGCTTAAAGTAAAAGATCATCATAGTCCCCCACGTGTATGACTGCTGTTAACTTGCATTATTCATGAGTTTGAGAGGTTAAAAAAATAAGTACTAAGAGAATATTATTCTGTCTCTGACCCCAGGAATGTTGAAGAGCGTTCAGTAAACTCAAAGTCAGGGCCTTCCCACTGTTCTTGTTTTTAACAAAAATGTGCTAATTTTTTTTACAAGACACGAGATATTTTTGTCTCATGGCACTAAGTAGCTTAAGCAGTGTTTTTGCATTACATTACAGTTCTTTAAAGAGTAAGAACAAAGCAAACTGTCCTTCCTGAAAGGATTTTTAAACAGTGGTGCCCCTGTACTTACAAGAAACGTGTTATGGTTTTAATTACGGAAGCTATGGCATAGAATGTTGTTCCTGCATTTAATAGAATGTGATGATGTTTTTTCTATAAAATCTTGTGATTTTTTTAGTACAATAATATTTTATAAATATACTGTCTAATCTGAAATGTAAATCACATAACTCTCTGATGGGTGCTTGGTAAATGCACAAAGAGATTTAGCTTTGATTCTCAGGTACGAAACAGAGATGTGCTGGGTTTTTCTTCCTCATGACACAACTGGAATGTGAAGGAGCTCTCTCATCAATGCTTTACCTCTCTGTGCTGTTGTAAATTGTCATTGCTCTCACTGTTTCAATTTGGGAATGTCTTTATTCTGACATATTTCTTGTAGGAACCACATACACTTTAAAAAAATAGCAGGTTTTTTATGTCAAGCATTTCTTGGATTGTCATTAGATGCTTAAGGAACAGGGACTTCCCATATCTACAGGATGGGAAATGGATACCATGTGTTGCTCTGTCAGTTTAACTAATTCCTGTAATCCTTTGAGATAACCAACAATTTTTCTGTGTGTGCAGTTGAGGTTTTGGAGCTGTTTGGTTTTTATATATGAAGGAAATGCTGATAATTTGCCAAATGCTACAGAGCATGCCTTTGCTTTTAGGGTTGTGGTGAGTCTCTTTGATACACAGTGTGCTGCAGTTCAGAACAAAGGAAAAAGAGGATTTCAGTTTCTCTGGCCACTTTGTGTTATGTTTCAGTCATGCTGGAAACGTTCCCTACAAGCTGTAGATGTCATGCTAATTCAGCAGGGCACTGAGATAGGTGCCACATTGGTACTTAGCAATTACTTGCGAAGTCTGGGGCACATGAGTGCTGCTGGAGGCACAAAGGGCCTGATGTTCCCATTTCTCAGTGTTCACTGCATCCTGCTTGTTGGCTTTTGGCCTGTGGAAATCCCTGTACGAGAGCAGGGGCTGTGCTGTGTGACTGGCCTGGCTTGCCGTGGAGTTGGGCTGGAGTGGACTGCACACAAACTCCGAAGCAGGGAGGCTGAGGCACTCCTGGGTATCTCAGTGAGGTGTGGCAGATGATGAGGTATTTTGTGGAAGTGAGATGTTAATCAGGGGTGTTGTTTGAACCATGAGGCTGCAGCTGATACTTAACCCAGTGTGCTGGTCTGTGTGTGTCAAACCTCCTTGGAACAAACCAGTAAAAATAGGGGATATTGCAAATCACTTTCTTTGGTGTGTGCTGCTGTAATTGTCATTCCTTTCACAATGCTCCTCGTGCCTAGATAACTGCTATTCACAGCTATGATGGCTTTAAAAAAGGTGGCAAAACGATTTCTTTGTAATTCTTGGTTCCATTGCTCTTGGTGTTGAATGTTATCATTCCTATTCCCTCCTGAAAGATCTTCCTATCTTAGGGAAATTAAGTTACTGAGCTACACTAAGCTATCAGAGGAGGGAGAAAACCAGTTAAATTTTGTTCACAGAATGGATTTATGGACACACATTCTAATTTCATGTGAAAACAGGCCTTGATAAGGCAGAGTGTTTGTAAATGAAGTTAAGAAGTGGCATGCTCAAAAATCAAGAAACAAACTAATGTTAATATCATAATGTTGAGTTATATGGCTAACTATAGGATGGTGCTTCTAATCAGCTTTCTTTATCTGGGACAAGTTTTGAGTTAGTTACCATTTCTGTTATGGCTGTCATGTGTAATGCCTGCAATTTAATAGTTATGACTCCAGTAGCATTTCCGTGTTCACTCAAAAACAGTTGTTATGCGTTATTTCCCCTATCTAATCCATGATTTCATTAATGCTGTGTTTTGTTTTACATGATTATTGCAGGGCATGATTTCTCAGGGAAATATGGATGATACCATACATTGTGAGAGCCAATAACTAATTCCTGCTTTTAAAATTGCTACAAACATTTCCAGGTTTCACTCAAACATTTCACATCATGTAGTTTTCATGTTGAACTTCCTTTAGACTTACCAGGTAAATCATGATGACAATGTTAAGAGCATTTAAAGGTGTCAATAAAATACACTCTGCCCAACATTTGTTATTTTTTGGAGAACTATCCGTTCTAATCTGATGATGCAACGTGTGTGTGGTTTTTTTACTCTGTTGTCCTCTGCGCCATACAAATGAATAGTTATTCCTGATTTTGAAGCTGCACTTCTGGCAGGACAGTGACATTAACTTTCAGGGTTAGGCAATACTATAATAATAGTCTGATTCTGGAATAGATCACCAGTATAAATCTCTAATATAAATATATTCATTTATATCATTAAATTTTTACTAAGTCTGTTCACTTTGGGGATTTTTGTGTTTGTTTTTCCAGTAAAGATACTTTGTCTAGACTAGGATTGGATCCAAAGCCCAAGAGAGTCATAGACAGCATTAATAAAGTAAAACTTTATTGAAATGGAACTCTGCAGTCAGGTTGACCTTTATGCCTTTGCAGTGTTTCTGTCTGCAGCGTGTGTTTGGAGTGCTTTGCTTTAAAACCTCAGAAATATAAATGGAAGGATTTTGGTGCTGGTAAAAATGGTAAACACACTACTGAGACTGGTCACAAAAGATATAT